GGTTAGAACCCAGGCAGCTTTCTCAGCGGCGTCCAACCTAGTCAGACCTCACATCAATTAACAGAATGGAAAGCCACTCTTTACGCGAGATTTTATGATTTTATTGTTTGATATAGTATAATTCTATCATAGTGGAAAATTTTAATCGGTCTACAAGATGCTCATAGAACGTAAATAATCAACAGCTTTTCCACCTTTCACTCTTTTAACTATTACTTCTTTTTCTTAACTGGTGGGCTCAAATCCAACTCATCAGCCCGTCGCTTCACCTCAGCTATCGCACCGTCTCCATCGTCTCTTTCTGGATTTCGGAGCTGCCATCCAATCACCATTTCTAGTGCTTTAGACATCCACGGACCGGGCATCGCACCAAGGGCAGATGCAAGTTGGTGGCCATTGGCAAGTGGGCGAAGAGCATCCACATCAAGCATATTTTGCTCCTTAATATATAAGAGGAATTCGACATACTCAGAGAACACTTTAAGGGCCCAGTTAGTGCTGAATAAAGAAAAAACACAAGACGAAATCTCACCTTTGCCGGCTTCTTCTCCTTGCATGATTTCCAGTAGGACAGCTTGGATGAAACATAGCCGCCAGTCCGCACCCATTATTCGAATTGATCTCCCTATTCTCCAGCGTATATCAGGCAAGGTCTTGCCAAGTTCCCGATTTAAAAACGCTGATTTAAGATCGGAAACCATGCCGTAATGTTTGGCGCCAGACTTTAATATATCAACCGTTTTATTGTCAGCCCTAAGGCTGTCTCGAGCCACCATTGACGGTCTCGGTGGCAGCTCCTTTTTGTTAGGTGGAGGTTCTTTCTGAGGAACTACTGCCCAAGGGGATAATGCTGCCAGCATCCAGGAATGATATGTATCCTCCTCATGCCGGATAAGAATGCTGCGTAAAGTAGCTCGACTTTCTTGTGAAATGGTAACTTCATTATAATTATCATCTAGGATAGCCATGAGCGACTCGTATGCTCGGCTCCAAGACGACACGTCCACAACAACATCATCTTGATGATTTGCAAATATGGTGTCATATAGTCCAAGTCGCTCTATAATATGCAATGCCATGAGGGGATCAGGTCCTAGAATGAATTAGCCTAGGTAGGAGTGCGAAATAGCCCGAATAGCCTACCTTTGAGCATCTTTTCAACTTCAGCGCCAATTCTTTCCTGACTAATTTTTAACTTAAGAGCATCTTTGATATCATCGTGTTGCATGGATTCCTCTGTGTTCGGGTCGATTTTATATCCGAGCCTACTGGAAAAGCGGATTAATCGTAGCACACGCAGTGGATCATCTTTAAACGTTTGATATGGCTCAAGAGGTGTACGGATCAGATGCGCCCTTAAATCCGCTATACCTCTGCCGGTGAAATCTTCAACCGACGATGTATGAAGATTATAAAATAAAGCATTCACTGTAGCGTCGCGGCGAAGAGCGTCTTCTTCTGCAGTCCCAAATTCCATTTCCGGGTGCCGGCTGTGATCCGAATAGGTTTCTTTACGCAAATTCACCAGGTCAACTTCCAGCCCAAATATTTTGGTAGCCACAGTTTCCAAATGTTTCGATTTTTCCGGGTTTGCTTCAATCTTGTGAAGACCGCCTATGACGCTCTTGAGCGCATCATCCGAGTGGAAGCTCTTATACTTCTCCAGGTGCTCGGGATTATCGAGGTACTCTTTTAGTTCCACTCCAAACTTGTAGCCTGTCATCGTGCTAATGCCAACATCAATATCGTTACTATCCACTCCCAGCAGTTTATCCCTAACCCATCCACCCGTAAATCTGAGGACCACGTCCTGGGGAATGGATTTGTCGCCATTCTTGGCACCTTTCTGCTTGATATACTCGACAACATCGAGTAGAAGATGTCTCAGAGTCTTCTCGATTTGAGTAAGTTCAATTATCGGCAGAACGGGGGCCATGACGTCGGGTTCTATTGCCATAGGGGTGGTAGCAGAGCTGTAGGACGTTCGTCTCCGTTTGGCTGGTCGTTCACAAGATTGAGCTCTATGTGCGTTTGTGGGCATAGAATGAAAGGTGAAATATTGTCGTATACTCAGGCGATCGCGGCGGATACACGGAGTAGCTAGAAAAGAGGCAAAGTTGTTGCGGCTGCGCCGAATCGATGCGATTTGGAAGCGGGACGGGATGAGGACGGGGAGGGGTAGACGGACAGGCATTTACGGACAAGATGTGAAAAGCAGTGTGTTACATTTTGAGTCACAGTGACCGGAAAGAGATCTTCACAATTATTATTCTGTGAATGAAAAAGAACAGTAGGATGAAGTGTCATGCGAATCCCTCATTGATCGTCGTTGGGTTTTTGACTCAACACATCCGACCAACCAACCGACAACAACCTGACCTGACGCTTTATCACAGTCCAACAAACAGCTTCTGGTTCAACACCTATTCCCTATTTATTGCCCTCTGCTCCCTCTCCTGACGCCCATGCGAAGTAAAGGCTTTTCCCAATTTGTTTGAAACCCTTAGCTGTCCATGACATCACCAGACGATGTTCCACCCCTCAAGCCACCACCCTCGTTCTCCCCGGCCACTTCCATCCTCCCCTCGAAATCCCGGTATTCGGACAGTCTCCAGGACTCGCAGTCTCTAATACACTCCTTGTCTGAACCTTCCCTGGACCACCGCTCCCTCTCGGATCTCCAATCCGTCGCATCGTCGGAAGTCACATCTAGATCATCCTCACCAGACCGCAGACTCTCCCGCTCTACGTTACGTCTCTCGCGCTCAAGCACTGCTACGCCTCTAGGGTCCCAGATCGGTGGATCTGACGATGTGCGGTCGATAATAATACGTGCATTTTCACCGACAATTGGAGTTTGTGCGTCTCCAGACACAGATGCTCTGATCCAGCGAAAGGGATTCAAAGGCGGGTTTTTCGAGTTAATACGGCCCTTCGGGGAGCGGATTACGGGAAAAGTAGTCATTCGCGATGGCGTCGGTTCTAGTCGAACCTGGGACGATTTTGGGGTGCGATTTGCGGAGTTGAGTGGCCAGGATCCTGGCGGCCGGAAGGGCGGCGATGTTCCGGCTGCTGCTGCGCAACTGGAAGAAGTTCTAGAGAAGCATCTGGAATCCGCAGACCAGCCTTTGGATAGTTGGGTCCGTGGCAGTGATCCCAGCTCTAAAAGCTCCCCTCCACCGTCTCCCTTATACAAAGTTTTTCTCAGGCGACTACTCTCCTCCGTCTCCCAAACACCCCACGAAACTTTTACCCATGCCGTCGCTTGTGTGATAGCGATCAGTTCGCATACTCCGGCACCTCTTGAATCATTGCGCCAGCTCTATTCTCAGACCAGCCAGGGTGACAAGAAGCCTCCTCCATGGGTGCACCCGGAATATTTGCGATATTACGTCCTTGTCCACGATGAAGATAATGACGATATTGCCCAGTCAACTGCACTGTTTGATCAAATGAAGCGACATTTTGGGCTTCACTGCCATCTTTTGCGACTCAGGAGCAATCAATGTGTCCTAACAGACGATGATAGCACCATTTTTCCCACTCCAGAATGGTTAAGTCCCGTGGAAGATCTCATTTCTATGGGGAAGCAAGGTAATTTCGATATGGATATACCTAATTGAATCCTAGTGCTAAATCTCCAATAGAATCCTTGATTGACGTTGAAGCCGAACCCTCCTACCTGTTCGAATCTGATGTGACTGCAATAAAATCGTTCGTTCGTGAATTGGTCGCACAGTCTGTGATCCCTCATATGGAGAATCGCGTTGCGCTGTGGAATGACCAAGTTGCATCACGAAGACGAGGACTAAGTGGACGATTCATGTCGATATCTAAGCGGTGGGCTGGCTTTGGATCAGGTTCGAGGTCATCGGGATCACCATTTGGAGGCAGCTCATCCGGCAATTATGATTCTTACCAAGGATTCTACCAACCGGATTCTCCAGAAGCTATTTTGCGAAAAATGGCGGATTATTCATTTATGCTACGCGACTGGAAATTGGCTGCCTCTACGTACGATTTACTGAGGACGGACTTTAGCAATGATAAGGCATGGCTTTACCATGCTGGTGCCCATGAGATGTGTGCGGTGGCGACCTTACTCAACCCCTTATCTTCAACCAGCAAATCCAGGCTTGAGTCCATCGAACAGCTTTTGGAAACGGCTTGTTATTCGTATCTTACGAGATGTTCAGATCCCCAGAATACCCTTCGAACGGTCATACTGGGGGCAGAGCTTCTCAAATCGCGCGGTGGCATCGCTGCAGAGAGCGCAGCACGATGGTCGACGCGAGTCCTGGACATGGGCCTGCTAGGAAGCATTGGGCGACTCCTTCTATTTGAACGTGTCTCGGCTTGCTATGCTTCGAAAATAGCAACCCACGGCACGGGATGGGGCACACGGAGACGGAAAGCAGGAATGTGGTCTCTTTTCGCAGCCGAAGGATGGCTCAAACAAGGACAGGCCCGCCTTGCCTCCAGTGCTATGGAAGAAGCCGATCGCCAGTACAGCGATACTGTCGATGATGGGACGTTTCCTCTGCCTGAAATGCAACAGGTTGTCGATGATCTTCGCCTGGCCATAAAGGTTGGATGTCTCGAAGTCCGAGGGATGAATGGCGAGGGTGTAGAAACCCCCACCGAAGTTGGACCAGAAGAAACACGAGAGAACCTAGACTATCGTGGTCATGGCCACCGTAAATCGCTGATGGGTGGTACGAATCCACTCGAAGGCATCCCTACAGCTCCTCTTCGGCCCCTGAGCCCAGCTGAAGCCGCTGAACCCAATGATGATTTTGAATGAATTTAGGGCATGATTTTGATGCCCCCTTTTTTTTTTTCCCCTTTTCTTTTCGTTGTCGATATTTCCCCTAATTTCTTTTTCATAGATGAGTGTCGGTGATTTAAGGCGTTGGTTGTTAGCCGGGATCTGATTCGAAATGCCGGAAGATATCCAAAATATGTTTCGCTGCTGGTTACTATACTTTACTAGACATTGATTCAGGCTGGGCACATCCGAATGGGCAATCCTAAACTATGCGCCAACGTTTTTTATTCAAGGGACTCTTTTCCCATCTCTATACTTTAATTATCTGAAAGTTTGTATGATGTGACTTCAGGAGTCAAATAGATTTACGCTGCAATGAAAGTCCAAGTTCAAATCCTTTCCACTGTTCCAGCCAAAACCATCTGACCCCAGAAGTAGAGACCCCACCCCGTAGCAGACTGTAGCCACCAATTTCTCTCATTCTTGGGCCGTGACCATTTGCCAAACGCATCCTTCGCCACGAAAATATCACTGACAACAAACATCGCCGCTCCCAGCACCCGCTGGTGTTGCAGTGAAGGGACCGTGGAGACCGCAACCGCCAGCATTGAGCTGATGATGGCCGCGTATATCAGGACCAGGAACAGCATGTCCTTAGGGATAACGAGGTTGAGCGCATTGCTGCTCGCCGGCGATGGGTATATGACACCAAGCCATCTTGCGATCACCATCGTGGTGACGAATGTGATGGCAAACGATGGCCATGATATATCTTCCGGTGAGTTCTGGAGGAAGGCCAGGATGTAGGCTATATGCGCTGCTGCAAAAGCGACGACGCCGAGTTGAAAGGATATTGAAATTTTTGGTTCTTCCGGTTCAGTGGGATTGCTCCCGTTGTTCTTTTTCGCGGCTGGAGCGGGGCTTAGGCTGTAGTACTCATTTCGCGAAGGTATTAGGAGGAAGTCACCGAGGACGGAGAAGAGGAGGCCGTAGGTGACGAAAGTGTTGTACGGCGATGATTCGGCTGAGAGGTGGAGGAGCGGCGCGCCGACAAAGGCCGCCGAGGAGAGCATTTTAAACAGCGCATGGCCCGTGAGGAAAGAATTGGTCTCCGAAATAACCAGCAAAGGCAGGGAGACCAAGAGCAGATAGACTGCGGGAGCTGGTGGGAGACTGACAGCCATTGCGCCTTTCTCGTGGCTTTGTCAGGGCGCGATCAAGGAGGTCAATTTGATTTCAGAGGTCAGGAAGACCATTCCACGATATCGTCAGGAAAGGGGATCTGTGGGAGCAGGGAAGAGTGTTTGGTCCGTGGATTAAATGTCTCTATTTATTTAGGTTCTACTCCGTATTTCTCTCCGCTTCTTCTCCATTGCGCCGTCGTCTTGAGGGCGGACGGAATCACATGTGATCGCTTTCGAACTGGAGAGCCCCGAAAATCCACCCTTCAATCGCATTTATTGCACCGGCTCGACACTGCACTAAGCAGCTAGAAACTGGGAAAAGTGAAGCGTGTTGCATATGGGATATGAAAGAAGCCGGCCGAGCGTGTTCTGCTCGGCCTTGGAAGAGAGTCAGATGAGAACATCTCGAGCACAAAGAAAACAATGCAAAATTAGATGCTCTGGAAACTGAGGGTAAATTATTTGGCTTGGTTGAACATTCCTGGGCTTCAAGCTCATCAATTTGTTCTATGTCTTCTATCTAGAAAACACAACGGAAGGGCTCGGAATATCGAAATAGAGCTGCTTCGCAAAGAAACCCGGGCTTTTAATACCAGTGATGATTTTTAAACGGGCCCATAAACTCCTAGGCAGCACTCACCGACCATTTCTAAAATAACGGCGTTTATGACTGCAGGTTTTTCTTTTTACGTCTGATACCCATCTCCAGGAATGAGTGCGGTCATGACGACTCCTTGACACCTGGTGCGTGCGAATGAACTACCATGGCAGCTCTCACCTCCTTTGCTCCCTAGGAAGTGGCTCCAACGTTCACTAAGCCGATGGGAGCATTCTATCACAAACCTGGCAGCATGTCTTTACCGGTCGCATAACTCCGGGAATATTTGCCTCCAGCCCGAAACTTCTTTGCATCCGATCAGAGTGGTCTGCATATGAGATACTCATAGTGCACAGCCCGAACTTCCAGACGGAGATCTACTACTCCATGCCGGGTATCTCTCTGAAAAAGGGACTTTCGATGACATCCAGGCCGGTTAAATAGCCAGCCACACTATTACAAGGTAGTGATATGGGTTCTAAGGTCGCCTGATCAGGGTCTACGGGTCACCTTGAAAGTAAAACAATTTGGGAATTGGGCTTTCCAAGTTCCTTCTAGCCGGGATATTTGGACAGGCTCCTTGTTAGAGGATTTGGATACCTTATCAATGCATGGCCGAAATATCATCTCGATGCGAATAGTCTGGGAAGTATATTCCTACATATGGAATCGTGTAGAATAAAGCCCAGGTTGACTGTTTTCGGACACATCCATGCGGGATACGGACAAGAGACGGTAGTGTTTGACGACGTGGAGTATTTATATGGGGAATTGAGAGGCGGCGGATGGAAAGGATGCTTCCTGGTGAAGAGGACCTGGAGGGTTGTTGGCCGTAAAGTTCGTCGCCTGCTGTGTAGGTCTTCCGGTGGATGCCTCTCCTCCGCCATTCTAGAACCAGCAAAGAAAAACGCATTAACCAACCTAGTCAGCCAGACTGGTCCCAGTGCATGTCGTCGAGATGTACGGAGTAGACCCATAGACCGTCACGACATGGACGTTTCATTGCTTTTTGATAGAGTGATTGGCTGAGTTGTCATTTTTCCTGCGAAACCGAAGTCACCCAAATGCAAACAGGCCAAACACACCAAACAGAGCAAACTGCTGGACGCCTGGTCAACGTGCAAAAGCAACAAACATGCATCGCGCGCGAGGGAAGCATCGCCGATGACCTGGCACCGCTGAGCGAGAGAGCCGCCTGCCGTTCAACTGTCGATCCGGATCGCTTATTGGTTGACGGGTGGGATTCCTTGCCTTGTTGCTGCTGGTCTCCTTCTCTCCGACCGCTGAGAATGCGTTGCCAGCTGAATCTTTCACGTAAACAGGACGTCTGAATTTCACATACAAAAGACCAGAGCTATGAGTGATCTGCTCAACTTCATATTATCGAATGAAGCCTTCAAGAGGTATGGTATTATGCCTGGGATTTTCTTGGTCATAAAATTAAGAGCAGAATAACAATAGCTGATCCTGGAATAAATCAGGCGCCTGGGTTCCCTCTACTCTGATTTCCCTCTCCAGCAAGACCCGGACGGATATGCCATCAACATAGCAGCATGGCAAAAGGCTCTAGCCGATGCCACTCTGGCAGGGCTCATTCCAACACCCGTCAAAGGAGGGAAGCTAAATGTCACCGGTGGTGCGAAATCTCACCAGAGCAACTCCCTTGTGCTGAGCACGAGTAACACTCTAAGTGCGGCGTTGGAGACACGAGAATGGGGACGACCACTAGCTTTGCAAGCTGTGATTGTATGTGCCACTTTCCATTACTGCTATGCTCCCAGGATAGGGTTTTGACTAGGAATAGGATGAGTCCCTCCGAACAGGTAAAATGATTGCACTCCCAGAGTTTTTGAATAGTCCCACCAGCCCGTTCAAAAAAAGTTGGATTCGGTTACCGGCCGCGCCGTCTATATTCCAGATATTAGGATGGGGTGTGAAACAGGCTCGTGGCCTGATTGTTGGCACCGACTACGACCACGTTGAGAGCTCGAAGAATTTACAGGAACAAGATTTGGTATTAGTTGACAATCTCAAGGTACAGAAAGGATGCTCAAGGAGTGAAATTTTCTTATTTTTTTTTCCTTTTCTCTTTAGCTTACAAATGATCCAGGAAGCTGAGAAACGAATTACGAAAGAGGCGCCCGCTCACCATCAATCGGGAGTAGACAGAATTTATTCCAAAGAACTGTTTCGAGCCCGGTTCTCTTATCTCATAGGTGCAAATGCCGAGTTGTCCCCAACAGATCTTGAAGTGCTCCTGATCTTCCTATCGCGAGATCGAGGATCTATCCTATATGATGGAGAGGTATGCATATGCAACGTTGCATTCTCTGCGACTTTTAGCTAATTTTCAACTCGAGACAATAAAATTTAGAGAGACGAACGATAAAACCTTGCACATAACACACGAGGACAAGACCGTAGCATCGCTCAAGATGTTAATTTCTAATATAACAGTCCAAATAGCGAGTCTAGATGCAAAAATTCGAGAACTCACGCTTGCCGCTCAGAACGCTCTCAAAAACAAAAATCGAATTTTAGCTCTATCTGCTCTCCGTTCTAAAAAATTAGCGGAGCGGAACCTGCAGCAGAGATCGGACACATTGTACCAGTTAGAAGAAGTTTATACAAAAATCGAGCAAGCTGTGGGCCAAGTGGATATCATAAGAGTTATGGAAGCCAGCACAGGTGTCCTCCGAGGACTGAATGAGCAGGTTGGAGGTGTTGAGAAGGTTGAAGATGTGGTCGAAGAGCTACGGAAGGAGATGGCGAATGTTGACGAGGTTGGCAACATAATGAACGAGGCTGCTCCAGTGATCGATGAGGGTGAACTTGATGATGAGCTGGAAGCAATGGAGGCACAAGAGGAAGAGGCCCGTCAAGAGAAGGAAGCGAAAGCCACCAGAGAGAAACTGGCGGAGTTGGACAAGTTAAAACTCCTTGGACCCGAAGAAAGGGCAAAGGTACAATCTACTGCCATATCGAACGCGGAACTGGAGGAGAGCATTAACAAGCTTTCCCAGATGTCGATTAACGACAGTGGTTTGAAAAGCAGTGAAGAAACAAGGGTGCATGCCGACTGATCACCCAATGCTGTGCAATGGCCCGTTCGTTGGTAAGTGCACGGCTTGACGGCGTAGAGGGAGATCGTCGAAATGCTCCCTTGATCATTTGATCATGCGGTAGTGTCTTCAACGACAATTCTCTGACTTCCGCCCTCAATTCCAGGTTGGGAGTCGAGACCGCTATCCGCAGGGGTATGATGGTCTATCTTATCAGGACTCTCGTTACCCTGGGCATTGCTATCTCCAATCTGAGCATCTTGGGGATCTGCGGTCTCCGTCGAAAGTTGTTTACTTGCTGGAAGCGATTCAGAGGCGGGAGCAACCCGCGATTCACGTTTCTTTTGAGCGCTCTCAATAAGCTTCCTGAAATCGTCTCCATGTGCAGCTGACCAGGCAGCTCCATCAAAGTCCTTTTTCATGATGGAGTTCGTCTGATCTCTGGATCGTATCCCCTGAGTCTGCTCCCAAATATCCAATTCACGGAGCAATTCTTGTTTGGATCTGGGGCTCTTGGAATCACAGTTGGCATTCCACAGATTCAGCCATTCGGTGTGCCGTTTTTGGAGAAGTATTCTTGGCCCGAACTCGGGGATTCCGAGTTCTCTCAACTTTCTCCGCATGTCAGTGTCTTTCATCACAGAATAATTAATCGTAGGGAGGCGTTCTGGGGGTTTGTTGGAGGACGGGGTTTTGCGGGGACTGGAAAGAGAAAAGATACTACATCATCGTTAACCAGGAGTGAAATAATGGTGTGGAATCGGTTCGTACCGATTGGGCTGTGGCTCCTTTTGTGACGAAGGGCCAGGGCATCTGTTAAGATGTGGGAATACTGCTTCCTCTTTCATCCTTCGGTTGCAGATTGGGCATGCAACGAGGCCATCATCTAATAAGTTGTTAGATAAGACAAACGAACTACCAGAAGCATGCACAGTACCAGGCTGATAATCATCATCCTCGCTATTATCAATGACCATTGGAGTGCTAGATGTAGATAATGCTCCATTATTTCGCCACGCGCTTTGCGATCGAGTTTTCGGAGGGCTCCTCCCGTTCTCTTGTGAAGTCGCATCTTGCATCTCCTCTATTCTCCGTTTTTTCGGGATCCTAGCCTCTCTACTATCGCTGTTGGGTCCCGCCGAAAGATTCCTTGCAAATCCTAGAAGATCCCCTCGCACTTGTCTGAACGAATCAACCACTTCGTCCACCGCCCAATTTTGTCGCAGCTTCACAGCCTGGTCATCTGCTCTGCAAGTGGGACACTTCCCGTCAGCGGATAGACATCGTCGTATGCATATTGAGCAGAACGTGTGGCAACACGATGTTGTCACGGGGTTCTTGAAGAGGTCTTTGCAGACCTGGCAGCGGAGGGCGGATTCGACGCGAGAGAGGCCGGAAAGGGGAGTGCTGAGCCAATCTGTTGAGTCGGGGATATCGAAAACCGGCTCCATGGGGCGTATGTACTTTCCTGAAAGGCGCGATTGGAAAGAAGAAATTAAGACTACTATTTAACCTAGCAAAGCTAACCGTGAGGGAGAGAGCTTCACTTGTCTGGTGAGCCTTTGTGAAGAATTGCGTAGTGGGTGATGGAGATCGGCATTGATATTGAGGAACGCCAAGAATGCTGACTGAGAACGCGTTAAATGGGATTCCACACGCGTTGGATGCTGCCGTGAATGCTCACTGGCAGCGCTTCACCCCGTCACAGCTAGGATAAACGATCATTGTCGAGTTTATAGACTGATGGCGTCCAACTACAAAAGGTATTTAGCGGAGAAGGTTATCAGTGACCAGGAGCATGTGAGTAACATTCAGTTTGCCTTTAACTTGACCTGAGCTTTCTGCTGACCTGTGCCCCAAGGTGACATATCGCGCTCTGAGCAGGGCACTGAATGTCCACTGCAATCATGCCAAGAGGTATTTTTGTTCGATCTTAATAGATGCTGGAGACACATATATCTTAGGACTAACTTTTGAAAATAGAATGCTCTATGAGTTTCACAGACATGAAAACTCCAAAAAGCCAAAGTCTGTCAATGCAACATATCTCCTAACCGGAGTACTTGCAAAGCAAAACGGCCGGCCAGGCAGAGGGACTTTAAGGGATGGCGATGATGAGATTATGCAGAGCAGCCCATTTGTGAGCAGCCAGGTTGCTCCGGACGATGCATCAAGCGAAGAAGAGATACCCGTAACATCGGTCTTATTGGTGAGAGAAGATGAGCTAGAAGGTAATCATTTTCTCGGATAACATGAACGGGACATTTTAAGGGAATCATCAGTATTCTAACGATACTATTAGATGCGAAACGCAGATTCATGACTCTATACTCTATATTCATCTACAGCGTTCAGCCTACGTCGCCTACAGACCTAAACGTTTTAGCTGACATAACTTCCCTTGTATCCACAAAGGACCCGTTACAGTATGGTCCGGGGTACGGTATGATACAGAATAAGAACGTTAAGGCATGGGCGATCCTAATATTTATACCTATAGCATATGCTAACACCAATTCTAGCGAAGAACTGGTCCTATACCGCCCCCCGCATCTATACCAAGCCCTACGAAGCCAAAGGCCCCAAAGGTAGCTCCTATAAAACAGGAAGATAAGCCCCAGACGCAAAAAGAGGACACAAAAGCCGAAGCAAAGGTAGAAATCCAGGCACGGCCTACTTCACGGCAATCTTCAGCGTCCCAGACCTCAGCAAGGCCTTCGCAAAGACCAAGTTCGGCAAAACCCCCGGGTTCAGATTTATTCAAGGCTTTTGCTAAAGCGAAACCCAAAGCCAAGAAAGAAGAAGCGCCCAGTGTTTCTGGAGTGGAATCCGTATGTGGCCAAAATCTACACTATTTCATACGTGTCTCTACATACTAAATCATGAATAGGGTGATCCAAGTGGCGTCGAAGACGGTATGCACAATATCCTACAGTGTCTTATTCAACTGTTTTGCTTACATGTCATAGTTGTCATGGACGATGATTCTGAAGAAGAGCGCGAAGATCTGTTCCTCGATTCTGGAAAGCGAACCAGCAACAAAGACCGTGAATCAAGAAAGGAGCGAGAGGAGAAGCTCCGGAAAATGATGGAAGGTAGGAAATGGATTGTTGGTACCGCGTAAAGCATGAGCTGACCACCCCCAGATGACGATGATGATGAAATGCCAGATGCACCAAAAAGCGCGCCGGAAGAATCCGCTTCTGTAGCGGAAGAGACAACTGAGGCAGAGAAACCGAAGACGGAGACATCAGAACCCCCCGAACCAGCACCTGAACCGGTCAAAACCACCAATGGCCGGCGGAGAGGAAAACGTCAAGTCCCAAAAAGGAAAAAGTACAAGGATGCAGATGGTTATCTGGTCACAAAAGAAGTGCTCGAATGGGAATCATTTTCTGAAGACGAGACTGAGCCGCCGAAGAAAAGGCTTCCTCCAGTGTCAACTGCCAAGTCGACGAAGGGATCTCAAAAGACTGGTCAGGGAAGTATCATGTCGTTCTTTGGCAAGAAATGACATGCGAACTCTGCATAGGATGTAATGCAAGGCGCATCTGCTGTGCGACAATGATATCCAGGTCATCCTCATTAACTTCGCGCATCTGGGAGATTCTAGACCTTCGCGCTACTTACGATAAAATGTTTCAGCCCCCGACTGAAATGTTGACTGTAGTATTACGTAGCTGGGCATAGTCGCAAGTAAATACAGAAGTGGCAGCATGCTGTAGAATCGTTTTTTCAGCCTGGATGGCACCCTTCCGATTGACTTTTATGCCCCGTAGTTACTCCGCAACCACTCCACGGCCGAAACATGGTTCGCCATGTCTAAGACGTAGGCGCATGGGCCTACTTTGACCAGGGCAGCCACTGCCGAGAATGATCGACGGTGTCTGCATAACAGCAGCCGGAAGAAGCTTCACACTTCCACCACAGCGCGCAGGTGACCTGAGTCCCCGGTGGTATAGAAGGTCGCCATAATTATCTGACCCTATGACACCGCTCTGGTTGAAAACGATGAGCATCACTTCGACCTACTCTCGAGTTGAGTTACATAGTTACTGGATGACCGAGCGAATCATCCCGGCCCGTCGTATCAGTCAACTCGAGGCGATAGCCCGCACCCAGCCATGAAACTTTCATTGAAACTCGTCGCTCTCCTTACGGCCGCGCTCTGTAGCCGCGTTGTCACTGGTACGGAGCCACCGTTAGAAGACGAACCAGATGACCTCGCGGAAGCTTGCCCGGACTACACAGAATACGCCGCAGAGAGACAGTAAGTGCCCTGGCTTGTGTTCTTTTCGCGGATTTCACCCGTACAGGTGCTAAAGATATATTCTATCTTTTCTTCAGTCCTCCATACAGTGAGGGTCCACTCAAGCTTCCCTTCCAGCGCCCCGCCGAAGTCTGTCGGACCTTCTCGTCACCATATGTCGAGAAAGTGATCGAGGACGTAACTTCTCGCATGGTCGACAAGGACCTTGCCCGAATCTTCCAAAATGCATTCCCCAACACGCTGGACACAACGGTGAAATGGCACATTAATGGCAGCGAGGAAGCGAAGAAGTCGAAAAAGTCGAAAAAAAAGAAGGGCGCCAACCCTGCAGCATGGGAAGGCCCGCAGTCCTTTATCGTGACGGGAGACATAAACGCTGAGTGGCTTCGGGATTCGACGAACCAGCTGGCCCAATACCAGGTCCTGTCGAAGAAGGACCCCAATATCAAAAATCTCATCCTCGGGGCCATAAACACCCAGGCAGAGTTTGTGATTCAATCGCCGTATTGCAACGCTTTCCAACCACCGCCTGCGAGTCGGTTACCGCCCACAAATAACGGCCAAGAAGATTCTGTCCACCCCGTTTACGAGCCGACCGTCGTGTTTGAATGTAAATATGAGCTTGATTCCCTCGCCAATTTCCTTTCTCTAGGAAACCAATTCTACGAGCATAGTGGATCGAGTGCTTTCCTCACGGGAAGATGGTACCAGGCACTTGATACGGTGTTGAACGTGATTCAGGCACAGTCTGAATCCACGTTCGATGAGTATGGGAGTTATGTGCGCAATGAATATACCTTTCAACGAACGACTGATATTGGAACGGAGACGTTGAATTTAGGCGGAATCGGAAATCCGTTGAATAACGAGACCGGCCTGGTCCGCAGTGCTTTCCGCCCCAGCGATGATGCAACCATCATGGGATTCTTCATTCCCGCAAACGCCATGATGGCCGTGGAACTAAAGCGAACCGCAAATGTGCTTCAGGAAACTGGCGGAAACGCAGAACTCGTTGACAGACTCCGTGGCCTCTCTAAGAGGATCGAGCAAGGAGTGTGGGAGCATGGAGTGGTTACCCACAAAAAATATGGCGAGGTATTCGCCTTTGAGGTCGATGGCTACGGCTCTTATGTTTTAATGGATGACGCAAATCTCCCGTCATTGCTTGCCCTTCCTTTGCTAGGCTTTGTGAAGGAAGACGACAAGGTCTACCAGAATACGAGAAGAATGATATTATCCAAGTGCGGGAACCCATACTATTTGGTAGGATCTGCCTTCCATGGTATAGGCGGCCCACACAGTAAGTCTCCTTTCCGGCATCATTCCATAATCCACGCATAGGCTGATATAATATGGTAGTTGGCGTTAAAAACGCCTGGCCCATGTCTGTCCTTGTCCGCGCTCGCACGGCACAGTCAGATGAGGAGATCATGGAATCCATCAATATGGTCCGAGACTCCAGCCTTTTGGGCCTGATCCATGAGAGCGTCAATGTAAATCGAATCCAGCAATATACTCGCAGCTGGTTCGCATGGGCGAATAGTGTTTTCGCCCAAACCATCCTCGATCTTGCAGAAAGGAAGCCTCATCTGCTCTTTGGCGAGAACGCCAGGCCGTACAAGGTAGCCGATGTCGAGCTTTAATCGAATGGTACTATTGGGGAATTTTGGTCGTTTGCTCTTTGTATATATGCTTGGTTTTTTTTCGCGATGGCGAAGTCTTGCTTTTTGTGTCCTCCATACTAATTCATTCCTCCCTGACCGTCGATGCTACATTTCCTTTTGACGACGGACTTGCCCGGGCGTTCCACATATTTACTTCCAGCCTTCAATACCCTTTACATAGGCACTTAGCATTAGATGGGAATGCATGTATTAATTTATACTCTGCGAAGTCCTCCGTACAATGATGTTGTCGCGAAGTCCCATCTCGCACCGTCGTCGATAAGATTTGTGACGCACGGACCACCCGCATGTCAACATTTTTTGAGCCCATGTTCTCCAGCGGGCGAACTGGTCAACACAAAAACAACCAATTTGCACATAACGATAATGACGACGCGTAAACGGACAGATTTTTGGGACATTCCGTCCGACGAGGAAGATAACGATGTCGGCTACGATTCCGAAGCCGCCCAGGAATCAAAAGGCAGAAGCAGCGTATCGAAATCTACGACGGCGCCATCGAGGTTGCGGCGGCCGTCTAAACGAAGAAAACTCTCTATTACCGAACATGGGGGGGGAAGTGACAATGGATCTGGATCGGAGAGTGAAGACGAGGGGA